AGCTTCCTAATTGTAGCTATTAGTTCCCCCTTTTTGTGGTCTGTTCTGTCAATAGACTATTGAGTGTTCAGTAAATTAAGCCCAACCAGCAGCCAACACATCGAGACAGACGTTAAATCATAGCTTGGCTGCCTGTATTCATTATTAGGATCTGTAAAACAGCTTTTAAGCACAGGGACAGGATTTAACATGATGCACATTTGTGTCATTCTCAAATTTCCATACTGTACAATCAGGTATGTGAGGTTTTCTTTTTTTTTTTACTCTAAGCAACAGGTGTGTTCTTGGAACAAAGTCCAACCCCCACTTCTGGCTTATGTGAAAGGCAGCAGCTGCAAGCTTACTGTCAACGACACATGGTTCTATAAGAGAGAAAAAACAAGGTACTTGTTCAGTGTATTAAAGTAATGGGCAGATGGATGATAGCTGCCTGTACTTTTCTTTGTCTTGTAGAATCAGAGTCCAAACTTTCAGATAACAAGTGTATTTTTCTCTTTTTCTTCTCTATCTATCTCCCCTCCCTCACTCTCTCCCCCTCCCTCCCTCCCTCCCTCTCTCCCTCTCTTCCTCCCTTCCATCTTTCCTTCCTTTCTTCTCTATCTCCCTACCTTCCTTCTTTCCTTTTAAAAAACACTATGAATTGATTATTGTGAATATTCCTTCATTTGAGTCATACTGTTTTCAGGCTAATGAGTGGAAAGAAGAAAGAAGTTTATATAATAAATCAAGCTATGCTTTATTTATAACTCAACTTTGTTCTAAAAAGATTTTAAAGGAACTGTTTACTATGCAATATGAAGAGACTTAGTATTCAAATGCTACATTTAAAAAAATAAAAAAATTAGCTTGGCCAGTATGGCTCAGTGGTTGAGTGTTGACTTATGAACCAGGAGGTTACGGTTCGATTCCCAGTCAGGGCACATGCCCAGGTTATGGGCTTGAACCTGGTGTGGGGTGTGCAGGAGGCAGCCAATCAATGATTCTCTCTCATCATTAATGTTAATGTTTCTATCTCTCTCTCCTTCTCACTTCTCTGAAATAAATAAAAATATATTAAAAATAAATAAATAAATAAATAGATGTACTTATCTATAGGCTTCCTTATTATCTGGTAAAAAGCTTCTAAGACATGTAATACTGTAAACAATAAAAAAATAAAATGAAAGCTTCTATACAAAATTTTGTGAAATATTACTAATAAGAGTTATAATATACTATGTACCTCAGAAGCACAATGTCAGCATTAATTCATAGTAACAATGAAACAATAACTATTATGATTGTGTTCAAGCAAGTAAATGTTTGTCAATGACTCAACAATCATTTTTAGTGTATTGGGGTAATAGTCCATTTTATATGTTAGCTTTCAGGTACCATCACACCTTAGAATATAAGAAGCTCAGCCACTCTCTTACTGTATATGAGCTCAAGAACAGACCAGAGTAATTATATAGCTCTGTGATATATTTGAAGCAAACATATTTCACTACATAAACATTTCTAGAACTCATGTATGTTAGAACTTCCCCTCTTTAGTCAGTGGGTATTTCAATAGGAATATTTAATAAAAATAGATGTCATGAGAAGAATCTTCATTTTTCTCAGATGTGTTGAACAAATTTGTTGCAAATGCGATAAGCTAAGCATCTATTCAATTACAGTCCTGGAACCTCTGGTAGAACTTGAGTCACCTGATCCCCTGGGAGACTGGCGTTGGGTGTTGCACATAACGTCTAATTGGGGAAGGAGCAAAGTGAGAATCCCTTCTTATGTGTGATTTTTAACCCCAAACCACAACTTTATTCAATAATCAGATTTTATGTGAGTCTAATCTGAAAATGGTTTTGCCGGGATTGTCTCATTGCTGGGAAAGCTATAAGCAGATGGAGCTGGAATTCAATCCTCTGCGACAAACATAGGCAAATGAAAAAGAAGAACCTGGTGATAAACTTGCAGGTTTTTAATTGGTTTGGCTGTTGCATTAGATTTTCACTAAATGCATGCGAATAATGACTAGCCTTAGAGAGGATGCTAAACATTTAAATATGTATAAAAAATGTCTAAAACTGGAAAGCAGTCCTGGATATCATTAAAGGGCTCTACTAACCCAGGGATCATCAAATTCTATGACTTTGCTTTCCTCAA